ATAAATTTGTTCAAAACTTGAAAAGTAAAGACAAATCTCTAAATGGAGAAATAACATTTGCTGTGTAAAATAATCAATATATGGCCAAGAAATTTCATAAAACTAATAGAAGATAAATATCAGAGTGGACAAATGCCAGAAGGAGGCAATTCAGAAAGGCAAATAAATGAAAGACAGTAAATACATCAAAATGTTCAAACCACCTACCCTCAATGAGACAAAGTGAAAGTTATAGATGAGAATTTAGTCTAGTATTTATGGCACTGTTCAGGTTGCCTGTTTCCCACATCAGAATATCTGTGATCAGTTCCTGGATTTGGCTCCTGACTGCCTTCCTATTAATGAAGACCATGGAAGGCAGCAATGTGATTGAGTAGTTGGACTTCTGAAACACATCTAGGAGACTACAATGGAGTCCCCAGCCCCTAGATTCAGCTGATCCCAACCCTGGCTCTTGAGGGCATTTGGGAGACATACCAGTGTTTGAGAGCTCTCTCTCTCTCGCTCTCTCTCTCTCTGTATCTCAAATAAATAAGCAAAATTTTAAAAATATAAAAAATAATAAGAAAACTAAAAAGTAAAGTATGCTTTGTTTTGATTATATAATTAATAGAATCTGTGATATATAGAGTGTTCAAATATGTAGGAATAGAAAGATTACAAATAGCAAGGGAAATTTCCTTCATCTCATCTAATGTTATTATTCTCTGTCATTCCTTAAAGGAAATTCCTGTTAACAGTTTATATGTGCATTTTTAATACATGACCTTGTAGACAACCATTGGGTACTTTTTGTATTGCTTTAGATTTTGCTCTTTCATTTGATGATAAGATTTAGAGTTCCCTTCTTGTCTGTGTGTATAGATTTATAACTTTTTCAAACTTTTTCATTCATAGTGTTATCTATTCTGGATTCTTCATAGCTTATTTATTATTTCTATGGAGACATTAATCTGTCTTCACTTGGTGGATATGCAAACAATTGTTTCTGGGACCACTTTATCTACACAATTTTGTTTGGTGGACCTGTGGGTTGTTGGCACACTTCCTTACTCTTGTGAAAAAACGTGATCCTTTTCCCAAACATCAATTCAACAATCAATGGATTTTCCATGTGTTTTTAAAACTCTATTTTATCTTGTTGATTATCATTTACAATACTAAACTAAAAGATTGTCAGTTTTGCGAACCCACAATTTGCCTTCAATTTGTTCATATTTCTTTATTATAACAAAATCTTTTGTTGAGAGGTAAATAATTACATATTTTTTTATTTTTAATAAAAATGCACTTATTTCCTACTTTTCTTTATTGCTGCTGTTAGCACCAAGTAGTGGAGACCATGGAAAAAGTAGATTTATTCCACCATATTTAATTATAAATCAGTTTTTTTTCTAGTAGTGATATTGGATTTATTATGAATAAATGGCGTATAGTAAGATTTAGGGTGTATCAGAATTACTAGAATATATGTTACATATTAGCTCTGTTCTTGAAATTATGTCTGATAAGCCTTTTTAAAATAATCATCAAAGAAGGAGGTACCTTTCTCTGAAGGGATGAGAGAACTTCCACTTTGACCATGGCCTTGTCTAAATATGATCAGAGTCGGCGAACTCAAAAGGCCTCCATAGCCTTGGCAACTCATGACAAGAGCCTAGGGTGATTACTGAGGCCATAAACAAGAGTGTCAATTTGTTAAGTCAACAACAGGAGTCACTGTGCACTTACTTCTCATGTTGGATCTCTGTCCTTAATGTGCTGTACATTGTGATTTAACGCTATAACTAGTACTCAAACAGTATTTTACACTTTGTGTTTCTGTGTGGGTGCAAACTGTTGAAAGCTTTACTTAATATATGCTAAATTGATCTTCTGTATATAAAGAGAATTGAAAATGAATCTTGATGTGAATGGAAGGGGAGAGGGAACAAGAGAGGGGAGGGTTGCGTCTGTGAGGGAAATTATGGGGGGGAAGCTATTGTAATCCATAAGCTGTACTTTGGGAATTTATATTTATTAAATAAAAGTTAAAAAATAAAAAAATAATGTGTATCTATAGTACTACCATAGCACCTACTTAACAACATTACATCAACAACATTTTCCATATTGCTTAATACTTTTTAAAGCATGTTTTAATAACCATAAACACATTTCAGCTTGTGCAAGTACATTAAGTGTTCTTTTATGATTCAATATTAAATTTTACTGATTTTAGCCGGCGCCGTGGCTCAATAGGCTAATCCTCCACCTTGCGGCGCCGGCACACCGGGTTCTAGTCCCGGTTGGGGCGCCGGATTCTGTCCCGGTTGCCCCTCTTCCAGGCCAGCTCTCTGCTATGGCCAGGGAGTGCAGTGGAGGATGGCCCAGGTGCTTGGGCCCTGCACCCCATGGGAGACCAGGAAAAAGCACCTGGCTCCTGGCTCCTGCCAGGATCAGCGCGGTGCGCCGGCTGCAGCGGCGGCCATTGGAGGGTGAACCAACGGCAAAGGAAGACCTTTCTCTCTCTGTCTCTCTCTCTCACTGTCCACTCTGCCTGTCAAAAAAAAAAAAAAAAAAAAAAATAAAATAAAAAAAAAAAAAAAAAAAAATAAAATAAAAAAAAAATTTTACTGATTTTTTCTATCCCAAAATATTCTGCAATAAATATCCTTCTGTATTAATCTTTGCTACATTCTTTATTTCCATAAAATGAATTTTATTGCAATGCTATGTAAATAAAATATGCTATAGGCATTTGAAACCAAGCAAAACAGCACTTCTAAATGCATTAGTGTTTAAGAATCTTTGTGTTAATGGAAAACAGCAGCGAAAAATTATTACCTCAGTTCTTTGTCTCAGATGGAAGAAGACTTTTCAAGCAGACAAGCAGAGAGATTTAATAATATTTATTAGAGTCAAAGACCTCCAGCCAGAGCAGCATGGAGGGGAGCTTTTAAGAGATGAAAAAAAAACTCAAAGGCCCCCTAGCACTGGGGTTTTTAATTACAATTTCAGAAGGAAAAAAAAAAAAAGAAAAAAACAAACTTGACTATCAGATTGGCATTCAGTTACCAGGTGGGGCAAAACCCATCAAAAGACCTGACTGACCTCTCATGATAAAACAGAAACCCATCAAGAAGGGCAGGATAGGTAACTTGTTTTCACAATAAGCTGTGAGCTCAGGAAGAGCTCCCTTGCTATTGTCCTTGTTAATTTGGAGATTCTGAAGAAAGGAAGTATCCTGTTTTTCCCCCTAAAGATAATGTTTTTGGGGAAGGTAGCAAATATTTTATACTCTAATTTCTATTGGGACACCCTGACTACCTATTAGCCCATCTGACTCCTCACATTAGGGTGTCTGGGGAATTGTGTACTTTAAGTAAAGGAAGCTATTGAGAACACAAAACTAGAAAGAACTGAATATTATGTTCAGCTTTTTATGAAGAAAAAGGAAATGCAATGCATGACCTATGAAGTGCTCTTATTGAACAATCAAATATGAATCTAATGGTCACCAACTTGTAGCAAAAACAAACAAACAAACAAAAAAACAAAATAATAGGCTAAAATAATTATTTAATTATTCAAATCATTACTCACAAAGAAAAATATACTTCAATGAAAAAATAGAAAGGGAAAAACCTATAGATTGGCGGTCAAGAGAATGAGCTACTTTGAAACAAACTATGAAGAATCATGGAAATTTATATACTGTATGCTGTAGACAGTTCAGGTTGCTATGACAAAATAGCAGGGACTGGATGGCTTGCAACTGTACACATTTGTTTATCACCATTTTGGATACTTGCAAGTTCAAGGTCAAATACCAGGAAATTCAATTCCTTTTCAGATTCACTTCCTGTTGAGGACTTACTTCCTGTTTTGTGCATGGTTACCTTCTCACTGTTTCCTCATATGGTGCAAAGATGGTCAGAAAGCTTTCTGGAGTTCCTTTGATAAGGACAGGGTTCCTTTATTCCAATTACCCTTATGATCTAATTGCTTTCCACAAAGATCTGACCATCACCTTGGGCATTATTTTATCCTATAAATTTGAAACGGACATAAACATTCAGTCCATTACATTGATTTAATTTTATAATAGTAAGGGTTTACTGTTAAATTTGTAGTCAAAGATGGAAAAAGTTTTGCTTTGTTATGTTGATTGTTTTCCCTTCAGGATATATTATGTTGTCTGGGATTTGCATCCATACTACTTAGTTGGTAAGGGAAATTGGTTGGGAGAGAACCAAAATTTGATTGGCTCAGTGTTGATAATTGTTGATGCTAATATTGATTTTTTCTTTGTTATGGAGAAATGACTGTGGTGCAGAACAAATTATTACCTCGGTTTGAAATCGGAGAAGACCCCCTAAAATTTACCCTGAAATGTGGCCCCTTAAAGTTCCCTAGAAATGCTATCCGGGGTGCCACATGTACTATCAGAATTTAGGGTGCCATACGATTTCACCACAGGCTTAATACTAAATCCCCGATATTAATAAGCCCAAGAGAGTTCTTGTCTAATATTTAGAGAAGAATTCTAAATATCAGCACAGATAAATGAGGCAGCATGGTAGATTTTAAGCTTTTATTTAGTGAGATAGATGCATAGGAGAGTGAGAGCTTTATTTAGGGGAGAGAGGTGAATAGGGGTTCATACTGAGCACCAGGAACCAGCCATGTGGAAGAGCATCTAGGCCAGGAAGCCTAGAGCACATGGCCCAAAGGCCATGCGCCTGGAGGCTCAGGGCTATAGCAAGCCCTGTCCTGGCAAGAGGCCAGGGAAAAAGAGCAGGCCAGGCCACACCGTGGCCCAGCTTTTAACCCACTTCCCAAGGGGAGTGGTTAATTAACCTGATTGGCTGGTGGGCACCCAGGTGTGGCCAGGAAGGGGAATGAGGCCACACAGGGGCGTGGCAAAGTCATCAGGTGGGGGCATGAGGTTACACAAGGGTGTGGTCTTCCAGTTCACAAATCTGATCAATTTTTATCTGTATGCCTGCCTACTTCAGGTGCTTTGTCTCACATGGAAGAAGAATTTCTGAGCGGACAAGCAGAGAGATAAACAAGAATTATTAAAGTTGAAAACCTACAGCCAGACTGCATGGAAGGGGGCTTCCAAGAGAGGAAAACCCCAAAGTGGTCTGTGGTGAGTTTCTAAGCCCAATTTTGAAAACAACAATAACAATAACGATTACGTGAAAATCAGATTGAAATTTAGTTACAAGGCAGAGACAAAACTCATCAAAAAATTTGATTTATGATCCTTTATCCTATCTGGCTTGCTCATGATAAAAAAAAAAATGTGCAGAAGGGTGGAATAGGTAACTTGTTTTCACAATAAACTGAGCTCAGGAGGAAGGAATCACCACTCCCTTGCTCTTCTCATGGTAACTTTGGAAGCTTTCAATGAGTGGACAAGCAGGCACTTTTTCCCTTGCTAAAAGACAACTCTTGGGGGAAAGCAAGCACTCTATACCACAGATCCCACTGGGACCATCCTGATTACCTATTAACTCACCTGAATCCTCACATCTCTATTTCGTATATTCCTGAGAAATTCCATAATAAAAAGTTACCTAAAATGCTACAAAGGGAGAAATATAAATGAGTAAACATTTGGGAAAAGCATACCTAATACATATATTTATGGTATACATATCATTGTATATGTGATATATATATATATATATACATACACATATATAATCACTATGAAAGTTGAAATACATTTATCAATAGGCTCATAAACTGTTTTGGGAGCTAGTAGACTATGATGACTCTCCTTGATACCTATAGTCCAAGTCCCCTTTCTGTCACACTCTTTTGTTCTTTTTCACAGAATGATAATATAATGATAAGGAAAATAATATATGATTCAAAATAAGATGTAAAAATCCAAAAGTTCCTTGGTAGAGTGGCAAAGAAACCCTCCTGCTTGCAGCAACAGTACAGAAAAATCCAGGCAGGAAGCCTGATATTTATTGTTTCACCTGACAAACTTCAAAGGAAGTTAAGGCCTCCAGGAAGGCAAGTTTGAAAGAAAGAGTTTAATTTGGAAAACCTGGGACCCTAACAAGGTTTGGGACCTTGGGATGATTTTCCCTGAGGATTCTGATTTGCTCTAACATCTCTGAAACTTCTAAGTCTGCAGAAATGACTCAGGGTCAATAGTGTTTGGCTCAATGACTCTGAGAGGCAATATGCATGCCCCTCCATCTGCCCCACTTCCCCTCCTGCCCCCTTGGCCTGTACCAACAAGGCTTAAGCTGAAGCATTCATTGGATGAAGATGCACTGAACTGGATCAAAAAAGGGAGTGAACCAATCTGTCTCTCCCAATCTGTCTCTGCTACTCTGTCTTTCAAATAAATAAAATATTTTTTAAAAGAACTATATTCTAAAGAAGATATACAACTAACAGAACTGTATTGGCAGCAGCTTGGAAAGTATGTGTGGTAACATATTAGATGATTCTTCGTGAAATACACTGGAATACAAAATTAGAAAGAAATAGTTTTATTTGCCTGAGATAATATTTGAGATAAAAGATTTATCATTCTGGACAGAACTTTCATAGATAATGTAAACTAACTGCATGCCCCTCCACCCCCATCCATGTTACACACATGGCCATACTGAGCAGAATTGAACTGCCATTTCAGATTATGGATAAAAAGACTGAAAAGTCTAGGAAATTGGGAGGGCTACAGTGGATTTTAGAACGTATAACCAGAAGGTGGGCAATATGATAATGTTCCTTGGAAAGGTCCAAAGGACATACATTTGATCAAGATCACTTGAATGCCCTGGTGAGAAAGGCAGAAGTATCAGTAAAATGTTTAGCAGTGGCCATACATTTTACTTCAAGGCTAGAGGTAGCAAAAATTATAGCAAAACTTGTCTAGTTGAAAACAGGGGATATGTGTGAACTTTAAACAGTAGAGTCCAGATGGCCAAGCTTAACAGACAGCAGTCAGGAGATATTTAACCACAGATATTATAATGACTAGCACGGTTGGTGGAGCAGCCCCAGGAACCTGAACACTTACTAGAATGGTTAATAGAGCATGTTCTCCTTAGGGCAAAAATAGATGAGTAGAAGACAAATACACTATTCAGCTTGAGCCAGAAGAAATCAGCATTCAGCGATTGGGAGTCTGAGCGATGCCATCTTGCTAAAAATGCCAAATACTTTGTGTAGCTTCTAGATCTGAGCCATTGCTCAACCTAGAACCACAACAGAAAGATTTACCAAGTGGAATGACCCTCCAACACCATAGCATGCATGCATTGTAATGACTTTATTCAGTCTTTATCAAAAGGAATTTGGCCATTCACTCAGGTTCATGGAGAAATGAGGCTTGCTCAGATATTTCTCTTTTTTTTTTTTTTTTTGACAGGAAGAGTGGACAGTGTGAGAGAGAGACAGAGACAGAGAGAAAGGTCTTCCTTTGCCGTTGGTTCACCCCCCAGTGGCCACTGCGGCCAGTGAGCTGTGGCCAGCGCACCACGCTGATCCGATGGCAGGAGCCAGGGGCTTCTCCTGGTCTCCCATGCGGGTGCAGGGCCCAAGCACTTGGGCCATCCTCCACTGCACTCCCGGGCCACAGCAGAGAGCTGGACAGGAAGAGGAGCGACTGGACAGACTCTGACACCCTGACCAGGACTAGAACCCGGTGTGCCAGTGCCGCAGGCGGAGGATTAGCCTGTTGAGCCATGGCGCTGGCCCAGATATTTCTAACATTGTTAGCACAGGGTGGAAGTCACATTCTCCACTCCTTGTTAAGTTATATTTCACATTCAGCATGACTAAATTATTTAAATATGATTAGCAGTTTCTAATAGAATTTTATATAATTTTATATTGATCTTTTCATAATAGAACACACTTATTTTATGCAATTCTTTGTCATTAGACTATAATCCATTTAGTAATTGAGAACTTAATTTATCAATTTTTATCAATAAAATATCTTTAATGCCTACAATGTCTTGTATACATAAATTGAAAAACACTTTCATTTGTATATATGCAAAAGTATTTTCTCTTGCAGTTCAACAGCACCAGAAAACAGGCTAAGCTATGTAAAAAGTTTTTTTTTTTTTAAACTTGATTTGTCCATTATGTGAAAGACATGATGGATTTAGTAACTCCAAAAAAAACTATATATCCCATCTTATCATACACTAAACACCTGGATACTTATTTCATCACATCCATTCACAAAATAAATAGTAGTCTAATATATTCAGCACATTGAAAATAAAACAACCAGTCTCTCTTCATATATTTATTCTCTTTCCAAAAATGTTTTGGTCTCCTGCTATATCTCAGAAATGTACTAATAGCTGCTTTTAAGTTACAAAATACAAAACAACAATTTACTTTTTGGAGAAATCTTGGGGATTACCATTAGAAAATGAAATTTTGTGTTCCCTTAGACTTTATTTTTGTTAACAGTCTTTGAACCTTCTCTTGGAACACATGTAAGGCTCCCTGTGACATGTGGTACCCTGGCCTCCAAATGGACATAACTGCATTTATAGTTTAGAGAAAATACAAAGAGAAGTTCTGAAAGTAGCCTTAAAAGAAAAGTGCCCTTTGCTTTGACGTAACATCAAAAGTAAGTGGGACTGTGCAATCAGAGCCATGAGTTTTATGAAAACTACTTTCTGTTCATGTCATTTGAGTTAGAGAGTGCCACACCCATGATCATGTAACATTACTAAAATCATGAAATAACATTACTACATTCGTGATTAATATTATCCAAGAAAAGGCACATCTTCAAATGTTAAGAAAATCTGAAAGTCAAAGCAGTAGAGGATACATGAAGAATTAAGCACTTAATTTGTAAACCTTGATCAAATAACAGCCAATTCCAGTTTATTCAAAGGCTTGTGAGCTTCTTCTAAGAGTGGTCAGGAAGTGCAGAACAGAATGGAAGACAGGATTTGACAACAAGGCCAAATTGTTAAAAAGTTTCACTCATAACTTTCCTTTTTTAAAAAATGAAAGTCACAGTACAGTTTTATTATATTTATACAAATTAGCATCAGAAGTAAACAACATATAAGATTTACAACCTGACTTCCTACTAAGTTCTGGAGATTTAATCTAGCACGGTGGAGCCTTTCTGTACAAACTGCATCATTATCATAAAGTTTATGCCACTGGAAATCTTTCAACTATAAATAACAAGAATTTGATTGTAATTAGATTTCATAATCTGAATACTGAAAGAAAAAAATCACCCCCAAAAGTACTTTTGAAAGGGGAAACATATAAATAATGGCGAAAGAAATAACGTTCTAGACCTATTTATTAAATGGAATATCATACTACCCTTAATTGATTTCATTGACAGTAACTGAGATGGGTAAGAGGAAGTCAACAGGCTCTTCTGCTACTTGTGTGACAGTTGTGGAGAGTTAGAATAAGATGCTGAGCATTTTTATTAATTTAGGTGATTGGACAACTAACAGAAAATTTTCCCGGTTAAAATACAAGAATATTCTATTCCCAGTTTTCCTTTCAGATTTATTGTTATGTTGGCTTCCATGTAATATACAAGGTCACTGTGCTGATTGATTTTTTACCTTAAAAATTCATTTTTTATTGAAGAAAAAGTTATTTTATTCAAACATTAGATTAGAAAGAGTAATAGTTTAAAAAATACGGAAGTGACATGTGAGGCTTCCCACCTCCCTACTTATAAAAATACTTTGGAATCCCAAGGTCCCCCTGTGCCTTTTTATGTTAATGACTTTACATTTTTAGCTTAAAATCCTTAGCAAATATTAATGGCAAAAACCAAAAACTAAATTCATCTGTATCAAGAGTACCAACTTCTCCTTTTGCCCATATTGCACTTTTATTTCAAACTATGCACTGTGAAGAGATTTTTTACCCCAGGTAGAAAAGCAGGTGTTCCCTGTTCCTGCTGTGTTACAGGGCTGTGGAACGTTCTTCACTTTCACTCTTTTAAAGTCATATCTATTGACTTGCTATAACTTAAGCCTCAAGTCCAAGCAATTCCAATCAGGCTGACCTAGGATCTGGCTGGAAGGAGGCCAAGTCTCAAGGATCAGCAACAGAAGATGAGACATGATAATGCTAGAGAGTATTTGCCCTTGACTGTACATA